ATTGTTGTTCTGTTGTGTTCTTTGCACAGGGCATACAACTTGGACATGTAGAAATCTATCGTCTCTAACTTTGGGCCAGACTTTGTTCCTTTGGTAATGACGATAAATAAGAATAATTAATTAGTTAGTTAATATATTAATTAATTGGTAGTTAGTTAGTTAATTAATTAACTAATTAATAAGATTAAAGGATGAAATAAGTCACCCAATAATTTTGAGGACAATTAATTCTAAGAATCTTTCCAACAATTATATCATTAAATTAATTGATAACTTTTTTTCCACTAATTCTCTAATTTGAACGTCCGGTACTGGCCAGGGGTTTGTGTTGCGGTGAGACCAGGTTCGAATGCGTAGAGAGATCCATAACTATCGTAGGCAAAAACAAACACAAACACACACACATCTTATTTACGCGCTATTTTAATGCTAGGCCTATGATTTATACTTCAAAGATAATAAACTATTTAAATGACACAAAGAATAGAATTAAGGAAAAAGAGAAGAAAAAGAAAAAAAAAACCGGGCAATGGCAGTCCGGCGAATTTTTGAACGAGCGTGGTTCTCAGTAGCAGCAGATGCTGCTTGAGTGCTTCATTGTTGAGCCGCTGTTGAGCGACGTCGACCTGCAACTTCTCCACCTCCTCCTTCATGCTGTCGACGTGCTTCGATAGGATGGCATTCTGCTCCTCCATCTCCGTGCTCTGCTTCCTCAGCGTTCTCAACTCAGACTCTCTGGCTGTTTGAGTTAATTAAGTGCAATTGTGATATAATTAATAATAATTGATAATTATTTATAATAATATAGTAAAATAATTGATTATTAATTATAATTGTTAATTATTAATAATAATATCAATAACTGTCTATTAGCGTTATTGAAATAAGACAAATATGCAACAGTATAATTATAATACAATACATTCAGAGTAAAAGGGTTTACAAATAAAATCATAACAATATACTATAATAGTAATAACAGTAAATAGTAATAACAACAACCATAAAAATCATAATAATGTACCTTTATTATGGTCCAGAAACTCTTCAGTAAAAATGGGAATGTCAAAAAAGCCGCCAGAATATTCATCATCTTTTGCTGAGTTTAGATGATGGTGAAGTTGATGTTGTTGTTGGATGTTGAGAATGTTGTTGTTGTTGTTCGTACTATTGTTGTTGTTGCTGCTGTTGTTGTGTGGACTAGAATTAACGTTGTTGGCATTGTTGGCGACATGAGCATTCTGTGATAAATTCGGCTAAATTTAAAAAATAATTGATTATTTAAAAACAATTCTTGAAAAAAAAATAATCAAAATTAGAGATAAATGATATAAATATAAATGACATATATTATTATTTTTGAAATATTCAGCAATAAAATTCAATAATTTAAATTTCAAAAAAGTTAGAACGAATAAACACACTCACATGTAATAGATTAATTTGTATGATGTTGTTGTTGTTGCTGCTGCTATTGCTGTTGTTGTTGCTGCTATTGTTGTGGTTGTTGTTGTGTAATTTGTTCATCAACTCTTTCTCCTCTTCTGTTTTAATCATAGATATAAATAATTCTAATAATTATATTAAATATTATAATGATACCTTTTACGTTCAAGTTACCGTTTTCCAGCATAATTTCAATTTTATATTGTTTCAATTAATTTGATAAACAAAATTATGAAAAATACGTCCGTGTTTTTATAATTAAGCTTTAAAAACGTCAAATATTTTATTCTAATTATTTTAACAGATTCAAATAACGCAGAGTTAATTCCATGCTGCAGTCCAACATTCGTAAAAGCATAAACAGACGCTCCCAAAAGTGTGCTAAAATCATGCTATCTTGAACGTTCAACTGGAAAAACCGGTGTATACATTTCAACATTTCGCCGAATGTTTTTAACACCAACTCCGTAGATAATTATTCAATTAATTCAGAAAATTAATTTTGCTCTTGCGGAAAAGATACAAGGACAGGGCAGAGCAGAAAATGGTTAACAATGTATCAGCGGGCATGCAGAAAGCACGAAACAATTCAATTAAAACTATAGCCCGACCGACAAACAACGCCGATAACACAACATCATCTGCAGAACAACATACAGCTGCAACACTGAACGATGCCACGAGGTACCAACTACTCCAACGACGCCGAGAAACAATAGATCGGGTCATATTCAAATTTATTTAGAAAAGCCTCATCCAACAACCACCTACTATGAACGGCTAGTTGGAGAAAATCATCGGCTGCCCTCTATCCACTTCACAATGTCCAACAAACCAACATTTTCCGTCAAACTGCAACTCGGTGGCACCACTGAACAGATTCACTATGGGCCACAATAAAATTCGAAAGCATACAGTCACGTGCAAAATCATAGGTCTCAATATTTGCTGACCAGAACTGCGATGAGATCCGCCTACCGTCGTATCTCTTTAGATATGGCTATGTCTTGACATCACTCTACTTTGCGACAACACAATCAAAATATTTAAGCAAATGGTCTGCCATGAATCTAAATTTATCAACTCAAGTATTCTAATTAGCACCCAACTTATTTGATGACTTGAAACATTTTCAAATAATAATCAGCACATTCAAAATTTTGCCTCTAGGTTTCTTTGATTGTTCCACTTTGTCAATAATCAATTTAGTTTGAACTAATCAATTTATCAATAACCTTACTAACTCTGCAATATCATCGTCATCATACGCCATTTTTTGACAGAACTATCAACTGAATGAGTAATTTAGATTTTGAAACAATCAGTCCTCATTGCACACATCTTCTCTGGGATGCTCAGCTTCTACTTAATGATTTTTGTTCTACTTTATACAATATTAATAGTTTTGTAAATTACAATTTTGTGATGAAAATAAAAAGATGTTCCAAATATTTGTTTAAATCCTTTAAAATAAAACTTTATTTAAAAAAAATTATAATTACCATTATTATAAGCGCAGATTAGTAAATAATAATAATTATACTTATAATTTAAATAAAAAAAATTTACTCTTCTGTTGTTGTTTTTTAAGGTACAACTGGTAGGCATCAGTTTTGTGGTAGGAATCTAGTTCTTTCGTGTACCTTTCCTTGTCTTTCTCTGCCTCATCCAGGTATCTCTGGTGAGGATGAAAATTATATTATCATATAAATTATAGTCATAAATATAAGATGATAATATTATGAAATAAGAAAAAAATTAATGTTATAAGATACATAACATTGTGGCAATTGTTATAGAGCATAGAAATAATATAAACATATAATATATATATATAACATACATTACATATAACAACTGTATAGAATAATGTATATAAGTGCATTTTATGGTAATTAACATATTAAGCTAAAGGATCATAAGAATAGCATGTATATGTTCCATTAAGCTATCGGAATCCCTTTTCAATACACTGTCCCTTACATGTAATTAATCAGCATAAAAATTAAAGCAAAAATGAATTTCTCAAGTTAATGATTTAAAAAAATAATCTGTGAACCTGTTTTTCATTGGCCGGCAAGTTGGCCCACTCATTGGCCATCAGCCTACTGAGTGCCTGAAAGGGCAGGCCCGGATTTTCTGACCTGATTTTTACTCGAACACTGTTCATGAAACGAACATATCCAGTCAGTGGAAACCTTGGGGCATTTATGTCTTTCGGTTTCTTACGTCTTCTGTTCCTCGACCAACTTGATTTGGATTTCTATGAAAAAAAAATTTTATACACAATTAATTAAATTAAATGAATATTAATTTAAAAACCGTCTTAAACTAAAAGAAGGGGTAAAAAATAGAATTTAAATTAATTTATTTTTTGGTAATTTGTGTAATTGAAGTTGAAAAAAAAAACAAAAATGCAACAAATACCTCACTAGGATCCTCTGCAGTTGCAGATCCATCTTCTATGATTTCAACTGCTTTGTAAATTGGAAAAAAAGTTAAAAAACAGTTATTTAAATAAAATTAAAGCAAGCTATAAAAATTTTTATTACCAATTCAATTATAATTGATTAGTGAATTAGAATTAATTATAAAAAAAATAAATAATTATTCAATCAATTATTAAATAAAAGTAGGTTAGGAAATTAATTTAATTAATTTAAAATTAATTATAATATTAATATAAAAAACTAAATGTAATATAATAATTCAATGAACACCATCTTGCGATGCATCCATAATTTGTTCCTCCTCTTCCATTCTTACTTACTATATAACAAGTAAAGAATATATTATTAAATATTTTATCCCATCAGATTTAAAAATGTGTATGAGTTTGTGATGGCGAGTAAAAATTAACTTATGTTTAAAAAAAAAGCTCAAATCTATGGAAAGCGAGTCTAATTGGACATAACATTTTGTTATTGATTTTTTATTTAATGATAATTTAAATTTTGTATTCGTTAAATTTGTTAATGTAGAAATTACTTTACACCTGAATAAAAATGTTTTTTAATCTTTAGCCACAAAACTAAAATTCGATCAATCGGTCGGGCTATTTGACATGCTTGGATTGTTGGCTTACAAAATTGCAAGAATTATAACGAGCAAGCTCTGCCAGCGTATGATATTTGGTCAAATTTATTTGATAGGAATTGAATATAACCTTTATACCAGCTGATTAACTACCAGGCAGTAAAATAACTACTGCTAACATGACGTCATTTTCTCCAACGATTTCGCTACGAATTACCATCCTATTTAATACATTTTATTTGATGTCTTTTAACTAATCAGGTCATAATCATCATCATCGATATCGCAATGAAATCAAATTGAGAAATTTAAAAAAAAGTATCTTTGTTCATTTTATGATACTACTTTGTTTGTCTTTAGTCAAGGGGAGGCCTATTTACCATTATACAACACTTTCTTATGGGTTGAAGCAGGGATATGCAAAGAATCTCAATTTTTGCAACTTTTAATTATTTTCGGTAATGTTGATTTTATTTGTTTAAATTTATACCAAATAAAAGTAATTAATTACCATATTGAATAACAATTTAAAAAAATAAAATTTTAACATTTTGAATAAAAGCAATATTCCGTAATTAGTAAATATATTATCGTAACTTTTGACTCGAACGATAAAAAATCACCCTCCATCTCCCCTCCAGAAGTAAGCTCCTTGTTCGACCGTTGAAAGTGAGCGAAGGCCGTTATATTTATTCTAGTTATATGTATCAAACAGTATCTTATTGAACAAAATAGTATCATAAAATGAATAAAGATACTTTTTTTAATTTAAAAAATTCTCAATTTGATTTCATTGCGACATCGATGATGATGATGATTGTGACCTGACTAATTAAAAAACATCAAATAAAATTTATAATAAATTATAAATTTGAACTGCGTGCCCACATATGTAGCACTGATTACTGTTGCGTTTATAATGAATTTATATACTATATATACAAAGCGAGCAAAATTTTAATATAAAAGCGCTTATAAATCTATGCATATTAGCTCAGCTTGGCTCCACTCGGCTTGGAATTGGATGTTAAGCAAGGTGTGGTCTTAAACTATTTGGAATTCTTCCAGAAAAATTTGCGCACATATGTAGCACTGATTAAGACTGTTGCGTTTATAAGGAATTTTTATACTATATATATAAAGCGAGCATAATTTTATTATAAAAGCGCTTATAAATCTATGCATAATGGCTCAGCTTAGCTCGGCTTGGCTTGGAATCGGATGTTAAGCAAGGTGTGATCTCAAACTATTTTGAATTCTCCCCGAAAATTTTGAACTGCGGCGTACATATGTAGCATTGATTACTGTTGCAATTATAATGAATTTATATATATATATATATATATATATATATATATATATATTTAGGAACGAGGTTTTCAGAAATGCAAATTTCATTGAAATTGTTTGCCCATTTTGCATTAATTAACTTCTTTATATAGAATTTATAATATTTATATATATATATATATATATAAAGTAACTAGAATCCATGTATACAAATAATTAATAAGATTATATGTTTTATATAAAAAGCAATATAGCAGATTCAACCAGCCAATCAGAAAATTTCGAAGGCGTTCGTTCGATGACGTCAATTTAGTACTGTTGGCATTGTGGTTAAGACTGTATAATACTGTAGTACATACATTAAATAAGTTTTTTACTGATGTGAATGATTGAAATGGTGAAAATGTATGGTTGAAACGAGTATAAATAGAGGAGCTGAGAAAACGTGAAAATCAGATCAGGCATTCTGCCTCGCATGAAGCAGTCTGCCTGATCTCATTTATTTTATTTTTTTATTTTTATTTATTTTATTATATAGAGTTATATAGAGTTTGCATGCCTGTGGTTTGTGTGATTGTATGTTGTATTTTTTATATTTTAGGTGGGTTCTTTAGCGGTTGCTCATACATACAAACATCATGTTTGTTAGTGTGGTAGTATTTTATGTTCTGTTTTACTCCTTTTTCTCTTTCTTCATGAGTCTTAAGTTAAGTTAATGAAACATAGGTAGGTGAGGTAAAAATTAATTTATTATATAGGTAGGGTTCTATTCTTTCACTCTACTTGGTGGTGTGTTTTTTGCTTTGTTTTTTTTTATTTGTTTCACATCATACATATAACAGGTTCGCGGTGGTTCCTGGTTTTAGTGGGATTTTTATTGATTGAATGTGGTGGTATGTATGGTTATATAGAGTTATATAGAGTTATATAGAGTTATATAGAGTTATATAGAGTTATATAGAGTTATATAGAGTTATATAGAGTTATATAGAGTTATATAGAGTTATATAGAGTTATATAGAGTTATATAGAGTTATATAGAGTTATATAGAGTTATATAGAGTTATATAGAGTTATATAGAGTTATATAGAGTTATATAGAGTTATATAGAGTTATATAGAGTTATATAGAGTTATATAGAGTTATATAGAGTTATATAGAGTTATATAGAGTTATATAGAGTTATATAGAGTTATATAGAGTTATATAGAGTTATATAGAGTTATATAGAGTTATATAGAGTTATATAGAGTTATATAGAGTTATATAGAGTTATATAGAGTTATATAGAGTTATATAGAGTTATATAGAGTTATATAGAGTTATATAGAGTTATATAGAGTTATATAGAGTTATATAGAGTTATATAGAGTTATATAGAGTTATATAGAGTTATATAGAGTTATATAGAGTTATATAGAGTTATATAGAGTTATATAGAGTTATATAGAGTTATATAGAGTTATATAGAGTTATATAGAGTTATATAGAGTTATATAGAGTTATATAGAGCATAAATCCTATATATATACCTTTCTTTGAGGTTCTTTTCTTTGCCGTCCGGTCGGCTTCTTTGCGTTTCTCTATTTTCATTCAAATTAATTAAATAAATAAGATTTTTCCATTCATTTAGGTTCATTCAGGTTCATTCATTCAGGTTGAAGCTTCCAGAGGAGTTCATCGTGGAAGATCAGAATGGTTGTGATGTCACGCTACGTTCGTTCACTCAGTTGCAAAGAATGCACGCCTGGCTGGAGTAAGTTTTACGGTTTCTTTGCTGTTCCTTTTTTGCCAGTTGGCTTTTCACCGTGGCTCGTTTTTCTCTTTTCATTTAAATTAATTAAATAAATAAGATTTTTTTATTTTATTCATTTCATTCAGGTTGAAGCTTCCAGAGGAGTTCAACATGGAAGATGTCCGGCTACGTTCATTCATTCAGTGGCAAAGAATACACGCCTGGCTGGGATACGTTTCATTCTTTTTTCTCTGTAATTTAACATTAAGTAGGAATGCTCACACGCACACACACGCACACACAATTACATTAAGTAGCTATATAGGTAGGTTAGATAGGCATACTTTTTAGGTAGGATAGATAGGAAGCATCCAACACTAATGTAGTTGAATAGGTAGGCGCGTAAGTTTATCTTCTATTTTTTCTTGCACCAACATTACACGCATCAGCGTATTACACACACACAAATACATACATAAACACATATGTTAGTATTTGAGCGTAATTTTATTTTCATTACACGTTCTAATTTATTATTACTAAGGTTGAGAGTAATTTAATTTCATAGGTAGTTAAGGGCAATAATGTAATTCTAGGAACAATCTTGTAATGTAAACTAAAACGCTGTAAGTGTATCGATAGGTAGGCTAATATAAGTTTTACATTATTATTATTATGTTGGAGCCCAAGGCATTACGTAGGTGGTGGGGTGGGCGCCGATTGGCTAAATGAATTGGGCTCTTGAGTTTTGTAATTTTAGGTAAGCTAGGACCGTAATGTAATGAATAGGTAAGTTAAGGCTACGTTGTAACACATACTCATTAATAGATTTAGGGTTTAAGTTTTATATTATTATTACTAAGTTGGAGCCCAAGGCATTACGTAGGTGGTGGGGTGGGTGCCGATTGGCTAAATGAATTGGGCTCTTGAGTTTTGTAATTTTAGGTAAGCTAGGGCTTAATTGTAATGAATAGGTAAGTTGAGGGTACGATAGCCGATTGACTCTGGATTTCAAAGTCTCTTGTCAGAGGTAAGCCGTGGTGGCCAGTGGTGAACCGGCAATGGTTTACTATCCGGACGGCAATGGTTTACTATCTGCACGGTAATGATTTACC